AAAAGGCCTGATCTTCCTAGGAGGGACTGGCCAATCAAAATAACAAACCAAACATTGACCCAGGAGGTCACAGAAGACTTTAAGATAAACACCTTAAGACATGAAGCAATACCTCCTCTTTCAGAAAAAGATTGCATTGACAGTCTAACATGGTGGTGGGGCTTCCCTTTAACTCCAGGACACATGGACGGAACCAGGAAGGAAAATGTACTCAAAATAAAGACTTAAATCTGATTCAGATACCTCCAATGTGGTTGAATTAAAACTTGAAGGAAGGTGAAGCAGATGGTGGCACATTTAAGTTGGATGAATCAATAACAATCTGTCTGCTTTAGCTTCAACCCACCTAAAGTAATAGGAGCATCTGTTTCCAGCGGCGCCCACAGCGGCTTGGTAATTGTTTTTTGGTCAGACGATGAGCTGCTGCCCTCAGTCGGTCTTGAAGAAGAAGGAGAGGAAGGGAAGAAAGACGCCCCTGCTTCTTTCAGCTTGGGTGGGGATCCCTGAGCTGCCATGACCTTTGTCGCTGTCTTGGAGGGCGTTTGTGCGTCCTCCTGCTTTGCAGGAGTCTTTGGCTCTTGCTGGGATGTTTTCTTAGGAGGCGGCGGAGGAGATACAGCAGTATCTGGTGTGAGCTTTGGAAGGGAGACGTCTTTCTCCTGAATGAGCTGGTAGAGCAGCTCTATGGGCGCCCCGCTGTTTTCTGACACTGTCACTCCGAGCTGACGCAGATGGAGGCGGGCGTGGCTTGAAAGGCCGCGTCGTGTCTCAAAGTAGGCCCCACAGACCTCACACACTACCGGTCCAGAGTTCGCTGCACAGAGAATTAGGTTGGAGACTGATAATTACAGATTATAATGGAAAACAATAGTTCATGACTGCAGTTTAGGAGAAAACTTTCTACCACAGAATCTGTGCAAAATAAAACATCCATGCTTGACTTATTTAAAAAATGTTTTACTTCATTTGAAAAAATTAAATGAAGGTTTTGATTTCTACAAAAAAAGAGGATTATTACTATTATTATTATTAGTAATATTATTATCTAAAATGCAATCAACAGCAGGGCTAAATAAGTAATGAGTACAATGTAGATGACTTTAGCTCTAAATGTTAACTGTGGAAAGTAAACACCTTTTTCTTTTTTCTTAGTTTTTTTTTTATTTTGTTTTCCTTCATCTAAAATTACACAAATATAGGTTCATTTCTGTCATACTGTTACCATGTGTAATGCATATTTTTATTTTTATTTTTTAAACAAGAGAAGAATATTTTTTCAAATCAGAAGAGGGTCAAATGCCTCAAGTTGGATTTTTCTCTATTTTTTCCCCCCATAACTTGTTCAGTCGAGTTTTGGAGAATCACACTTTATATAAAGGTAAAAAGTTGGACACAAAACCTTACCTTTTTTTTTTTTTTTTAATCATTAGCTATGATTTTCAAAATTACTGGTAACTACGGTTATCGCAATACTAACATTTCAAACCTGATATCAATGCCACGGAAAGTTTTCGATACCATGCGGGATAATTAATGGCATTTAAAGATATATCTAACATGAAAAAGTCAAACTTTGCAATCTCAACTTGAAACCTGCTTTTTAACAACATTAAATATTCCATTTGTTAATTATGTGAACAAATAAACACAAATAAATAACCAAAAAATTTTTTTTAATATTCTCTGAGTTATTTGAAATTGTCTTTTTATAAATGTGCAAATAATCTAACAAAAATTCAATAGAAAAAAAAATATAAACAACAGTTGTGTAAAGTTTCGATTTCATGCCAAACTAGTATGGTATCCTGATACAGCAATGCTTTTATACCATAGAGCAGGGCTGTTAACTTTCACCCATTGGGAGTGAGACTCACCCATCTCAGTGTCTTCACACACTCTCACTCCATATTCCCAATTTCTCACACTAAAAATGACAGACATTAAAACTTAACTCCATTCCACTAATTAATGTATAAAAATACCATGGTGATAAAAAAAAATAGTCCACATCTATAATATGACCTTAGTGCTAACAGACGAGGACTAGCCAGGTTCATATCCAGTCCGTATTTCCACTTTCACTGTGCTAGATATTGTACAAATATAGTCCCTACAAGGTATGTCATTTTAATTTTTATCTTATCTCATCTGCACTATGATAATTCTCTTTGTAAATTATTGAAGCGTTTAACCAATCTAGTACTTGAGTTCAGGTTTGCCTCTCAAACCCACAGGAGCTCCACAAAATGAAAAAAGGACCATTGCATTTTATTTTTCAAAAGATCAGCCACCCACGAAAAGACCAACAACATTCAGAAAGGATGTGCAGAACAATTCAGTTATCCTGGATTCATAGAGAAGAAACCACAGGGATGTTCTAATTTCATTATTGATATATCCTTATTTTGGTCCATTGAATATGTTAACTTAATTTCCATCACATTTTCCAAATGAAACATCCAGAGAAGTGCTGTCTCCTGTCATGGTGAGTTTTTATAAAATCGATAGCCTCCGAGAAGGGCTGAATTGTTTAGCCGTTTTGTCAATTCTAAGAAAGACTAATAATATAATGAATTAAGCTTTTTATTCTTTAGCTTATTACCAAATATTCATACACAGTGAAGTTTGCATGGCATTCGATTGCACTGGTTCCGGCATCAGTGCCAGTAATCCAATAATAACTTATTAGTTCCCCATTGTTTAATTTACTTGAACTGCAGAAAATAATTACCGTAATGAATAAAATTGTGAAATTCTTAGTTTAAAGTATATTTAAGATGCAGATATTTTAGTAGGGCCTATTCTGCTTTACTTCAATTCTCTAAAAATCACTAGAATGTAGAAAATAATGTATATTGTGAGAAAAATAACTAAAATAACTACAGATCACTTACTGTTACTCAGTAATATTTACTGTGCTATAAAAATCCCACATTTTGACACTTTGTTTCAGTTAAATCCTCTGAAAACCTCCAACCTATCATCATGTAAGCTAGACAGGGTTTCCTGTCCAAACTATTTATAAATTTCAACCAAAGGTTTGGAGTAAAGTTGGCAGCCCTGCATAGAGGTAACTAAATTATTATAAACTATCTTACCTTGTGAGTCCATTTGCATTGAAGACACAGGGTTTTTTCCTGATAAAACGGGGAGTTGTCTTAATGCAGAGCGCCTAAAATAGTTTAAAAAGACACAGAATGATACAGTATTGTTAATATTATTATTGAGGAAAACACTGGGGAAAACAGGGTAAATAACGCGACACAACTAAAATATCGCGTGAAATGAGCCCATTCAAAAATGTCTCAGAGGCTGTTGGATTCAAATAAGCTATCAACCCGCAATATTATTCGTTAAAAAAATTAATTTCGTTTATATTATTAAAACCGATGAAACCAAAACAAAAAGCGAAGTGAAATCCCGACTTATATTATCCAATTAAAAGCTAACCTAAGCTACCTCCGTTGCCTTTTGTTTCACTCTACAATGAAATGTTTACCACATGCTAACGGCTTTGCGCCTCGTTGAAGCAAAGCACACATAAACTACATATTCTACACATCAGCATTCACCGTAAATACGTTAATATATGAGAAACCGAGAAAAGAAATCACCCTCAAGTTTTATTATAACTGCTCTGCGCATCAGTTTCTCCCAGGCTAACCGGAAGTAGCCTGGCACGCAGTTGACCTGTCCTTTACAAATAAAAGCATATAGATATACTGTATGTGTTTCATTAATTATCTAAAGGAGCATGTATAAAATGTTAGATATTCATCTAAACATTTATTGATCTACCCCAAGTGGGTTAACGTCTAGAATCACTTAAATACCAATCCAGGAAGTTGCTCTTTGTAAGGTTTGCTTTTGTGAAACAATTTCTTTATTTCATAACTTTGCAAACAAGACTGTGAAAAGTATTGATTGACAAAACATTTAATCTATGCTTTTATCAAGGACGCAATAAACAATGGTTTGATTGATATATGCAAAAGATCATAAACGAAATATTAATTGTTCTCATTTTTACTCAGTTCATGACTGTGGAAAGTTCTGCTTGGTAGATAGGTCAAACAGAAGTTCTTTTTGTTTGTTTTCTTAAACTTAATTTATATAACAAACCAATAGTGTACAAAGACTTATTGAGGTACAAACATTACAACATGGGTAGAAAAAAACATGGGGCTAAAAAAAAGAACAGACACATAAACAATAAGGCCAATGAATAATTGAATAGAGCAAGATTTAAACCAAAAGAAGAGTAGAAATACTGAAAGTTATTTTTTTTGGCAGAAATAGATTTCAAATGTTTCAATGAGTAGTAAAAAAATTAAAATTGGTTAAGAAAAAAATCAAAACAAGGAGTAGAACCTCTCCATTTACAGCAATGTATATTATATTTGACAAGCAAGTAAACAATATTAACCATATCTGAAATTTTACTATCAAGGTCATAAACATAAATACAACACGTGGGTGATTGTTATTTGTTGGATGTCCCCAATTTTAAGGGACAACCAATTTTTGATGTCTCTCCATAGTTTAAAAAAAAGGGACAGAAAAAAAAAAGATGATTAAAGGATTCAAAAGGCAGAGCATGTTTAATCAAATTTAAATATTTTGTGCAAAAATTCTGCCACTGGGTAAATATTGTGCTAGATTTTAAAGTGAGTTTCATTAAGGCTGCACCTAAAAAAAAAGAAAAAAAAAAGAAAAAGGAAATTGTCCAGAGAGCTGTTCTAAACGAAATTTCTTTTTGTTTTACACTTGTGTAAACAAAATGACAAATAAATCTAAGTTTAAGTCTTAATCTTTGGTGAAACCGGCCTTTTAACAAACTTGGAGAATGCCTTCTCAAATAAAGGCAAAACAGTTGTTGTCAAAAAAAAACTTCAATCATTAAATAATTTAGATTTGAGTGCAGTCACAAGCATGGCATTATTAGGTCAAACAGAAGTGACTATCAGCCTCTGGGTTTTATTTTGAAGGGCACAGTTTGTACTTCCGGAGGTCACCGGTGTCTGTCAGTACTTCTTGCGCAGAATCTCTCTCTCACACTCCTCTTGCCTTCTGCAAGCCACAGACCTTCGGTGCCAAGTTTTCCACGGCCTTTCAACCCTCAGGTGAGCGAATCCTGCGTGTTTAAGTGATTCTGTTTTTTGTCGCGTATTCACAGCTATTAAAAAAGAAACGATACTGCAGGAGTAAAGCTAACAGAAAGCTAACAAGCGGACAGGCTCTGTGGGGTTATTGCTCCCTCTCTTCCAAATGTTTCTGGTTCTTTCTTTGTTCCTGAAACGCAGTTTCCTGCTCACACTCCTCCGCTCCTCCCTTGTTGGTCTAACTTCACTGCTGTTTAAAACTAATTTAAATGCGACCTTAACAAACGCCTGCATGGCTTAGAGAATAATGTTGTGTTTTTTTGCAAACGCACCAAAGTGTTGCAGGAAATATCCCTTCTAATAAAAGCAATACTGCTTTTGTAATTTCTGCGTCCTGTAGTGCACCATGTGAAAATTAAAACCTTTAATTAGCGTGTTAAGAATATATATCCAGGTGGTTATGAATTCAAACATGATGCTTGATCCTGAACGTTGCATTTTAAATGAAGTTTCAGATCCAAAACTAAAGCATGAATCCTGCTGTGAATGATGGATCTCCTTTGGTTGCATAAGCTTTCTAAGAGGCTATTGTTCCCTACTGGCAGACTGTGACTTGCATGTGACCTCCAGCAGGTGTTAAATGAGACTGCGACTTGACTTTATTAGAGCTGCATATTCTTGACCTGTCTTTTTGTGTTAAACCTATAGAAAAAATTATTAATTTTTTAATGTCTTTGTGGTGTCTCCTTCAGTTAGTTACCACCATGTCCTCTGGAAACGCTCAGATTGGCAAACCTGCCCCTGTATTCAAAGCCACAGCTGTTGTTGATGGGCAGTTCAAGGAAATTAGCCTGTCAGATTACAAAGGTAACATGATTTTAACTTAACTGCAGCTTCTGCACCATATACAGCCTGACCAGAATCGACTTCCCACCTCATCCATCTATTAAACTTTTTTTTTTTACTGTGTGCCTCAGGGAAGTATGTGGTCTTCTTCTTCTACCCCTTGGACTTTACCTTTGTTTGCCCCACTGAGATCATTGCCTTCAGCGATAGGGCAGAGGAGTTCCGCAAGATTAACTGTGAGGTCATCGGGTGCTCCATTGATTCCCACTTCACCCATTTGGCATGGTAAGAGGTCTGAAGAACACATGGCTGGGGAATCATTTGGTCCACTTTTTAAAAGGTTTGAAACCTGAGAAAATTACCAAATGTTTTTAAAGAGATTGCCTAACTGATATTTAAGTCACATAAGCTGTTAAACACTTTGAATGAAAATGGATTGAAGAATGTTCTTTAATAATTAGAAAAATGTGGTAAATGTTGGTCTAGGCTGCCGTGTATATCTGCACTGTTAACAAAGTGGACTGAAGGAGAACCCACCCAGCTTTATCTGTGTGGCTGTCCTTCTGCAGGTGCTGATAAATGTTTAGCTAACGGCCTCAGATTCAGCTCAATACTTCTAGAAGGATTGAGGCGAGGCCTTACATGGTCTTTGGTGTTCTCCTTCTGTCACTCAAATTTCTACATTTTGATTTGTTGCTTAAACCGATCCCACCGCTTCTCCTCAGGATCAACACGCCAAGGAAACAAGGAGGGCTGGGTAATATGAAAATCCCCCTCGTAGCAGACCTCACAAAGTCCATCTCCAGAGATTACGGAGTGTTGAAGGAGGATGAAGGCATTGCGTACAGGTCTGTTTGAGTTATTTTTGCGGGGGGGGGGAACAATTGTCTCAATTCTGACACAAAGTATAATCTGTCCTCTAATCCTTGGATCTTTGTGCTCAGGGGTTTGTTTGTGATCGATGGTAATGGAGTCTTGAGGCAGATCACCATCAACGACCTGCCTGTGGGTCGTTCTGTGGACGAGACCCTGCGTCTGGTGCAAGCCTTCCAGCACACTGACAAACATGGAGAGGGTGAGTGGATCCAAGGATCATTCTCATTTACCCACTATATGCTTTACTGGGATAGGCCTACTTCAGGGGTTCCATGCATTTAATGCTTTACACATCTAGATGTGGAATGCTAGGCTTTAAACATTAATTTGAATTCTTATTTCAGGCATTACTAACTACAACGGGCTCTGGTGCAGTGGCTTTATGTCATGCTGCAACAAAAGCCCAAAGCCCACAATGCACCCTTCCAAATAATTCAGTTCTTGAATCCTCCTTTAATGTAGGGTGGTTTAAAACAAAGATTCTTGCTTCCTTGTCTAATTTTTTATAAATCCTTGTGGCTTTTAAAGACAGAAACTTGAAATATTGACCCAAACCAATGGTGTTTAAAGTTGCTGAATGTGATCTGTAAGCAAATTTTGTCTAATGTAGAAAGAGTCGGGCCACTCAAAGTAGTAATTGTAGTAGTGATCAGGTTTTGAAGCCTCTTTAAAACTTTATAACTCAGTAACCAGTCCGTTTGTAAAGCAGCTCTGCAAATGCCAGCATCAGCTAGTGTTCAAATGTTAGTACTTGGTCTGGCTTTTTTAGGCCTAACGTAAAAGTACATGATTATCCCCTGTACCCAACAGTGCAAGGACTGATGCTAGACCCAAAGGCTGCCGTCTTGCAGGTTTTTAAAGGGTTCTTTTTGTTTTTAAATGAAATGTCCCGTTAGAAAGTGTCAGCAGAGCTTAAGGTCTGGATTTAGATTTAATCCAATCATTTTATTCAGCAGGGTTGGAGTAGCAATAGTTTGACGCATCCTAAAGTATGGAAAGGCACGAGGTCTGAGGGTGGCTGTTCAAGGTTTAACTTTTCAGTTTCAACAAAACTGCACCAGCCTTAGACATGTGGTTGTGTGGGTTTTAGAAACATCCGAAATGTACACTTGGATCAGCCTTGCAGTGCTGTTAAGACTTATATTTTTTGCTGCCGTCTCACGTTGGATGAATTTGACCCTTAAAATGCATATTCAATTTACTGTGAGCAGGGCTTTATTATTGGTGTTACTTTGTAAACTCTTCAGTACCAGGTTAACAGCAGATTAGTGTTTAACATTTTAATAGACTCTTGGAAGGCAATGTTTTGATTAACACTGGAGAAAAATTATATTTCACTTCAAAAACTGATATTTCAAAAAAATTCTACTTTTTAAGTGCATTTATTGCCAAATGAAACGTCTGCCAAAGGACTGGGTATTTAACTTAAAATACAATTTGTTATGCACATAAGGAAGCAGTTTTTTTTTTTCCTTCTCTTTTTAAATATAAATTTGATCCCTTGTGCAAATTGTGTTGCCTCTTTAAATCATAGGGAAAATACACTTGAATTAAAAAAACTGGCTCTTTTATTAACTGTATGTGGGCCAGTGCACCTGTTTGCAACCTGTCTAGAACAGCCCATGCTGGGGAAGAACATTAAAAGGGATTATTGCCCAACAGTTACAAGGCAGACTGACTCTGGAAGTAAATTGGTAAATGCTTGTCAAAGGGAACATGAAGTACATCTGTGGTACACGTACTGAACATATTTGTTCAAAAGGATCTAACGAACCTTAAGTGTTTATCTGTATAACCAACATTATTATTGGGCAATCATCATGGACATTCCCACTTGTACTTTGTCCTCTGATAATGTAGTATATCAACAGTCTCTGGCACTTGAAGTAAACTTTATCCCTCTTCTATCTCTTCACAGTTTGTCCTGCTGGCTGGAAGCCAGGGAGCGACACAATTGTCCCCGACGTGGAGAAGAGCAAAGCTTTCTTCTCAAAGCAGTAAATCCAGATGTCTACTGCCCAGCTGTACTCATAAGCCCAGCACTTGTTTTTGGATTAAAGGTGTCCCTGTAAAGCACTATAGCGTCCAGATCTAACCCATTAGAACAAAGTATTCAATTGTTAACGAATCCTCTGCAAGTTTTATGCTTGTATGTTCAGTCTGCAGTTGATGGGATAACCTCATAGTCTCACGCACTGAAAGTTTTGTTTCCCCTTTTTTCAGAAAAGTATTTCTTGCTGTTATTGATTTGTTAACATCATTATTAAAGCATTGGGATAAAAAATCGGAGTGGCTTTTTTTTTTTTTTGTCATCTCACTAAAGTCCTCCAGATGGCAGCAAAACACTGGCTCTTACCTAAAGACTTGTCTGAATCATGAAAGGGTGTTTTTATTTCTTGGACCTGATGCTGTTGAACAGCTTTGCCTGGCAAAGGATCACAGTACGTCACAAAGCTGCCAAGTCTTGGTTAATATTGGAGTTATTGAGGTGGTTGACTCAGCACAACAACCTGCTGTTGCCAAATGCCTTCAGTTCCTGTTAGGAAAGATGGGATAGTTGGATTAAGGCAGCGGTCACCAACACGGGGACCACATGGGTTTACTCACTGGTGTGTTTACTTTGAAATTGTATTCTGCCCCTTTAATTTGTTAAATCTATAGAACATTTCATCATTTGCAAATGTAGAACATTTAGAGATTTTCAAATTCAAATGTCTAAAAGGAAATTTGGACATTAAAGGAAATGACTATAAAGTTTAGGTGAACACTGACCCCTCTAGTTCATAGGTCAGCATTGGTAGGCCTTCCTCTGACCAGTGAAAAAGTATGTGCTACAAAAACTAAATAAAAATATAAAGTAACCTAAAAAAAAAAGGCAAGATGCCATATGTATTCAAAGCTCAATTTTTCAACTATTTTGAAAAACTCTTTGAGATAGGGTCACAGATGATGGAGGTCTTGTTGGTTTCTGTCTCCATCTCCTGATACGCTCTCACCTGTGTCAGACATTTCAACATTTTTTTTCTGAATCCGACATTGTAGCATGGCATAGACAATTTACGTTTGCAGTTTGAAGAACACTTGCTTGCTTTTGATTTCTATTAGCTAACCAATGAGTGACTCCAATTACACTATTCACTAAATGCGGCTGGCACCAATGACCTGAAATATTTATAAACATAAAAACTGAAGCCAAGACTAACGAGTAATTTAAAAAAAATGTAAGGAATAGAAAGTAGAGATACTTTTGTGAAAATGTAATTAGAAGAAAAATAAGTAATGGATTAAAGTATAGGTACCTCAAAAGTGTAGTTGAGTACAGTTTGTCCTGCTGGCTTCCAGCTGCCTATGACTCAGTACCCATGAAGAAGCCCTCAGCCTTAAAGGTTGGTAACCACTGGATTTAGGCTTTAGGTGCTACTGATCTATGAAATGTTATTGTAAGTTAAGGTAATTGAGTATAGCTGCTTCTTCATGGACGCCATAATATGGAGGTTAAAAAAAAGCTGTAATCTGGAATTTTGATTTTTTTTTAATATATACTCATTTACTTTTTTTTTTTTTAGAAAAGTCCTTTTTCCATTTTAGTTGCTTACTGCAGTCTAAAAGGCTACTATATGCCAAAAATGACTATTTAGAAAACATTGCTTTGTATATTATTGGTCTGAAGTAGTCATTTCATGCCCTGGTGTGTATTCATTTTAACAAGAGATACACTTCTTAACCTTTGGATTTTCTTTTTTTTTTTGTTAAATCATTTTTATTTTCTAACTAATGAGGGCATGGTGGGTGATTATAAATTAAAACATTTCCATTGGATGAACATCTTATAGCCTAACCGCAGGTGCTGAACTGGGATCCTGCAGTTTAGACATAAGTGGGTCATTAACCAGATCTAGAACCTAACTGCATTAGGAGGTGATGCTGCCTGGAATCAGGAAAGGATGCAGGGTTTTCCCCTAAACCTGATTTTATTCTCTATAATTACATATTTGTATATATTCAAGCTTAATTTGACTATTTCCATTCGTTTATTCCAATGCAGGTTGTAGATACCTAATTCCAGTGAAGGGACCAGTAGCAATGCTGGGTCCCACACCCTAGAAACCTGTAAAATTTAACCGCCAATCTTTTCTTTCCGACAAGCAACTAAAACCTGATTACGACATGTTTTCATGGAACCATCTTCTCTCTTTCCTGGGCCGCTGATCACAAAGCTTGTTTTGGGAAACTGAAAGCAGAAGGAGGGAAACTCCCTTCACTAGAATAAACTCATTGACAAACCTCTGCGCTGTGGTGTGAAGGGGAGAGCGCAGCCTCTGACTGGCAGTGTAGGAGGGAGTTCCCGGAAACCTTGTCGTGACATGACGCCATATTTGGCTTTTACGCACGGACGTCAATAAGGAGGAGAGGTGGGGAAAAAAAAAAAAAAAAAAAAAAAAAGTCCTACGCTGGGACGTTTAGCAACTTCTGGCGTAAACTTCTGATCAGTGACAACCGTGCGGTTATGTTTACGAGAAATAAGACAGTGTTTTTCAAAAGAAAGCAGCTTGTCATTTTTAATTACACGTTACTTTTACTTAAATACTGCTGTACAGGTAGAAAACCAAATAATCACAAATAACTTATACACGTAAAAAGCATCACAAATGGCAAACAAATGTAAACAGGGAAAGCCAAGACGACACTTTAAAAAAAAAGTTTCAAAAATGCCCCAAAGTGTTTGGTTTTATTTTTTTAGGCAGGTTGTAAGAGTTCTCTTGTGGCTCTATTTGAGCCACATATAAAGTCTGTTTTTCAGTGCAGTTTTTTTTCTTTTTCTGTCCAGTGTTCAATAAAAAGTGCATTTTTTATATATATTTATCTTCAGAAAGACTTCACCTTCGGCGCTAACATGAGCTGGCAGCCACTGCTCACATGAGTCATGACTTTCTGTTTGAGCTGGGCCACCTGCTCCCTCAGCAGGGAGGCCGTGTTTGATAGTCCTGCGTTATCCGTCTTCAGCACCTTCACCTTGTCCTCCAACCGGGCGATGCGCTCCAGTTTGCGTCTCCGACACTTGGAAGCCGCCAGCCGGTTCCTCAGCCGCTTGCGCTCCGCCTTGATCCGCTCCTGGTTCTCCATATTGATGGGAGACATCGGCGGGGAGCTATTATCGCTGCTCTGCATGTCGGGCACCGTCTGCGGCTCCTCCTTTAACCCGCCGAAGCGCTGCGAGTGAACGCCGGCTCCGGGCAGGGAGTGCTGGAAGTGATGCGAGCCGTGCGCCATCGCCTGGGGATGCTGGTGGAACTGGTGGTGCGGTAGGTAGCTGATGGTTGTGGACGGGTAGCTGGCTGCAGAGGTCAGGCTGGGGTTGGTGGGACAGCTGCTCAGGTTGGTGTACTCCAGAGCTTCCGTCTGCATGGAGTGGGCGAAAACAGCCGCCGGAGCCTGGCAGGGCATCCCGCCGGCGCTGATGGAGACGTTCGGAGGCGCCATCTGGTTCATCTTGTGAAGATCGTCCAGCGCTTTGACGAAGCCGTCCGCGAACACCTCCTGGTCCTCTGTGATGCCGCGGTTGTAAAGGTACGGGGCCGGGGTCGGTGTGGTTATGACCCCGCTGCTGCTCTGGATGATCAGCCGCTCGAGTTCAGGAGAGGCGAGCTTCAGAGAGCCCACGTCCGCGCTCGGGTAGAAATCAGTGTCCGCGCGCAGGTGCTGTGCCTTGAAGCTCGAGTTCCGATATGAATCGGAGTAGTTCAAGTTCATATTCTGCTTTAGCAGCTTGTAGTCTGGCAGGGCTGCGCCTGGATGGCCATAAGCAGAGAGAAACGAGTCGTCATAAAAAGGTTGTTCCATTATTGTGGACATATTGAGTTTTTTTGTTTTGTTAAAAAAAAAAAAAAGACAGTCAAATACAAGAGTGCGCTGCAAACGATGCTGTTGTGTCCCAAATGTGCCAATCTCCAGCGCAAAGTCCCGCTGTATTTATTTAAAGCTATGAAAAACAGCAAAACTTCCAAAATATGGGAACTGTACTGTACCAAGTCGTCGGTTTGTACCTTTAGATGGATTCAAAGCGGAGTCCAGAGATTTATTCAGACGTTTTCATTCCTCTTCCTCTGCTCCGTGTGTCTTAACTTCACCTCAGTTTCCTTATTACTGGCAGCGGCCGGTGCGCTCCTTTGCTTTTACGCGTCTCAAGATCTGCGCACCGATTGGCTGTTTCCTTAGAGGTCCCGCCCTCCCGATGTGAGATTGACGTTGTTGCCAGTAACGCAAGGCTATAAACAAGACAATGGGAAACTTGGTCCAGGTAAACATACGACTCTTAAAATCCAAGATTATGGATACAAAAATAAAAAAAAAACAACACACACACACACACACAAAAAAAAAAAAATGTTTTAGAATGTATTAAAATGAAAGTGAACCTGGCAGCCTAATAGATCCTTAGGTGATCACAGCATTTCTAGAGCAACCAGTTTTCCTCCAGTTCAAGGATATATAGTCCGGAGCTGACTCATGTGATCCAAACTGATATGCACCACTCCATATTTGGGTATCCTGGGCCCAGTTCCTTCCTGCCCGAGCAGGAAGCCAATCCCATCCTGGCCCGCTTCCAGCTGCTGACAGGGATGTGGGAGGAGAAGGGGATGTAGTAGGCTACTCCAGCCCTCTTCTAGCCAGAGGGCAAGGAGCAAACAGGTATTATCAAGCATGTCCATAGGTGTCTGGCAAATACTTGAAAGATGTCAGAATAAACTCCTGACGTCAACTCAACTCCTGAATACCTACTTTCTTATAAAAACATGACTGTGTGTAATAGATTCATGCTTTGCTTCATTATTGCTCAAAGCGTATTTTTGTAAAAGCACAAACACATGACAGAGTTACTCAGGTATTTGTTATGGAAGTCATATTCCCTGATTTGAACACCTGTTTGACAAAAAGACATTTTGTCTTGTCTGTATGGTAATGACCTCTGAATCAGCCCCCTAAGGGCCACATTTCCACTCTCCTTTAGCTTTCCAATTATTCCAGCATTCAGGTCACATTTGTTAAGGTATAGGTCTGTCTGTATTTATTTCTTTATTACTAATTTAAACTCTAAAATAAAAATAAAAAACACAAACAAGATCTTCTTGCCTTATTAACAACATGTTAACATACTAGTGGTGATCTCCCGTGTCATAACAAGCTGGTTCTCACATGTTTTTTCTAATATCAGGAATATTTTCATACTAACTATAGAATAAATGTAGCAAAGTATGACAATTACAGTCAAATCAATCCCCTTTA